TACACGACATAGCGATATGGCACCTGTTATAGGAGCGTCTGGAACAGCGAACAGATCAAGTGTTTGAGCGTGTTCATGCACTGCAGTAAAGAGCAACGTTTGTTACTTCAAACCAGGTCTTGATGGAAACATGTGCGGGATACATTTGGATTATTTTTCAATGGAGAAATAATACGCCACGATAAAGAAGGTTTAACGCGATAGTACAGCTCTGGCAGTTTTGCGTCTCTCTATGGGAGTGAATGGAAGCAAGAGGAGGACACGCCCCCCATGCTTCCAGGTGTGGCCCCGCCTTTACCAGTTACGCTGATCGCCAGACAATCCGGACAGGGGAGTCAGCGCTGTGCTGCGCAGCATCCGGCATCAATGGGTTAATAAAGTCTTTGATGTGACTGCGTGGTGCTGCGTGGAGCGTCCTCCTCCCTCTGTCCTGCGTGTCTCGATCAAACCCACTGATTATCGGCTCATGTTTAGGGAATTCTCATTCACGAGTCACTTTACATGCTCCTTTTATGGTGAGGTGGAGGTGTGGAGAGGGCGTGACGTGACGTGGGTTTACGTGCACAAATTCTAGTTGCAGGTGCGATTTATAAAGCAAAGATTGTGTGGTTTGGTGCGTGCGGTGGTTTTTCTAAATATGGAGTTTGCGTGGCGCACGCCTCTCGTAGCTACTAGGCGTACGCACTAACTTACGACAACTCCTGCGCAGTTTTTTATAAATGAGGCCCCTGGAGAAGGCATTCGACCATGTCCCTCGCGGTGTCCTGTGGGGGGTGCTCTATGAGTATGGGGTTCGGGGTCCTTTGCTAAGGGCTGTCCGGTCCCTGTATGTCCGGAGCAGGAACTGTGTTCATTGCCGGCAGTTAGTCAGACCTGTTCCCGGTGCATGTTGGACTCCACCAGGGCTGCCCTTTGTCACTGGTCCTGTTCATTGCATTTATGGACAAAATTTCTAGGCACGGTCAGGGGCCAGAGGGGGTCCAGTTTGGGGACCACAGGATTTCATCTCTGCTGTTTGCAGATGATGTTGTCCTGTTGGCTTCATCGAACCAGGACCTGCAATGTGCACTGGGGCGGTTTGCAGTTGAGTGTGAAGTGGCTGGGATGAGGATCGGCTCTTCTCAATCCGAGGTCATGGTTCTCGACCTGAAAAAGGTGGCTTGCCCTCTCCGGGTGGGTGGGAAGTCTTTGCCTCAAGTGGAGGAGTTCAAGTATCTCGGGGTCTTGTTCACGAGTGAGGGGAGGACGGAGCGTGAGATTGACAGGCGGATCGGTGCAGCGTCTGCAGTGATGCGGTCGCTGCATCGGACCGTTGTGGTGAAGAGGGGGCTGAGTCGAAGGATTTACCTGTCAGTCTTCGTTCCTACTCTCACCTATGGTCATGAGCTCTGGGTAATGACCGAAAGGACAAGATCGCAGATACAAGCGCTGGAAATGAGTTTCCTTCGCAGGGTGGCTGGGCGCTCCCTTAGAGATAGGGTGAGGAGCTTAGTCACACGGGAGGAGCTCGGAGTAGAGCCACTGCTCCTCCACGTCAAGAGGAGCCAGTTTAGGTGGCTCGGGCAAGTGTTCCGGATGCCTCCTGGACGCCTTCCTCAGGAGGTGTTCCGGGCATGTCCCACTGGGAGGAGGCCCCGGGGAAGACCCAGGACACGCTGGAGGGACTATGTCTCTTGGCTGGCCTGGGAACGCCTCAGGGTCCCCCCCAGAAGAGCTGGAGGACGTGTCTGGGGTGAAGGAAGTCTGGGAGTCCCTGCTTAGACTGCTGCCCCCGTGACTCGGCCCCGGATAAGTGGAAGAAAATGGATGGATGGATGGATGGACTTGGTATTGGTTTATAAATGGCTTATAACTTTCTCAGTTCACATAAAACTTAGTAAAACAACAGTGTCCTGGTAAAGTCCTTATCCCCCAGGGGGGGTGAGACTGGGAGGAGAGAGAAGAGAGAGTGAGAGGAGGGGGGAGAGAGAGAAAGAGAGAGAGGAGGGGGAGTGAGAGAAGAGTGAGAGAGACAAAGAGAGAAAGGGGGGAAAGAGAGAGAGGGAGAGAGAAAGAGGAGGAGGAGGGGGAGAAACAGAGCCTGTCACAGAGAAGCAAGGTAATAATTTTCCATCCTAAAGTGGGTCAGAGAGGCTCCTGACTCTGGATTCATGCATGTTTATCTTTATTATTCTACATTCAAGACGTCATTGCTTTGAAAATACCTGTTGTCTCTGACCCCCAGGTACACACCCAGTCCTTTCTATTTCGTTCTCCAATTTATTTTTTCTAAGCTATTTTGGTACAAATGAAAAAAATTATCTGTTTCCTACCAAGACTATGGTAAAACAATCAATATTATGTTAAATATCTCCATAATCTCAAACTGAAGTTACAAGACAAGACAACAACTTCACAGGAGTTCATGCAAAAGCAACTATTTATGGACAACAGTAGTATGAAACAGTATTTCTATGAAAAAATACTGATTAAACTCATAATTCACTCTGAAATCTTCAGCAAACTCCCTACATACATTTTTGTTGCTGCTGTTGTCACATATAAATCTCAAAAAAAGCTACAAAAAATAGTAAGGACTCTCAGAGTAAGGTTAATCTTCTAAAGCACTAGAAGTGTCAGATGGTCACTTTTAAAGATGAGTTTACTCTCTTGTGGTTTTAATCTTAATTCCTCTGAACATAAATATGAGTCTGTTTTGTGTTAGAGAGGCAGAGTGAGGGGATGAGACGTTTACAGACTCTGAGTCGTAAACAGCGGCGCTCTCACCTTCTTTTGGACTGAATCACACTTTTAATGAGTTCCCTGTGTGCCAAAACATGACCAAAACAAGAGTCACATCACAAAGACACAGAAGATGAGTTTACAACATGCTTTCACGCAATACACTAAAGTATGGGGCTTCTACTGAGCAAACTGACTCCAAATATAGTGTATGTTATGGAATAGTATAGACCGCATATAAAAACTTTGCAGTGACATCAAGCTGAGGGTGTTCTACCAGTATGTCTATGGTGGAAAGTTCTTCAGTTGCCATGGTGACAAAATACACACATTAGCAAACACTCTCAAAAAAAGTTTTAAAATTTGAAAAAATACAAAAGTGATTTAAAGAGCACATTTTCATTTTCCTGCAATCACTCCGAGCGTTCATGGCCCTTGTTTAGGAGTTTGATTTTCAGCAAAGGAGTGAGTGACTAATGCTAATGCTAATGCTAGCTTGTGACTGTAAGGTTATTTGAGAGGGGGACTTGTTTAACAGCACAGGTCAGTTCACCTGCTGTAGTTTCAGATAAGTCTTTATATGACCTCTATGGTCACATTGTGTTTAAAATAATGCTCAGATTAAAGTATAACAAGCCTCAGACAGAGCAGTGCCTACAGTTAGTCTCATACCCCCAGGGAATGTGGATGACATCAACTACTAAGTATTATCTTCAAGAAAATGTGTCATTGTACCAATGACACATAAACATCCACTTGATCATTCAGAGCAGGGATTTGCCATGACAGTAAAGCTGACAACAACTAGCATGTTAACCAGGCACTTCCTCACAGACACGGACAATAAAGGCTTTATAATATGTTACAAACAACATTGCCAGGGTACTGGAGAGGAGAATCTGGCCGATAGTTGAACCTCGGATCCAGGAGGAGCAATGTGGTTTTCGTCCTGACCATGGAACACTGGACCAGCTCTCCATCGGGTTCATGGGAGTTTGCCCAACCAGTCCACATGTGCTTTGTGGACTTGGAGAAGGCATTCGACCGTGTCCCTCGTGGTGTCCTGTGGGGGGTGCTCCGGGAGTATGGGGTTCGGGGTCCTTTGCTAAGGGCTGTCTGGTCCCTGTATGACCGGAGCAGGAGCTGTGTTCATTGCCAGCAGTAAGTCAGACCTGTTCCCGGTGCATGTTGGACTCCGCCAGGGCTGCCCCTGTCACCGGTTCTGTTCATTGTATTTATGGACAGAATTTCTAGGCGCAGTCAGGGGCCGGAGGGGGTCCGGTTTGGGGACCACATGATCTCATCTCTGTTGTTTGCAGATGATGTTGTCTTGTTGGCTCCATCGAACCAGGACCTGCAATGTGCACTGGGGCGGTTTGCAGCCGAGTGTGAAGTGGCTGGGATGAGGATCGGCTCTTCTCAATCCGAGGCCATGGTTCTCGACCGTAAAAAGGTGGCTTGCCCTCTCCGGATGGGTGGGGAGTCTTTGCCTCAAGTGGAGGAGTTCAAGTATCTCGGGGTCTTGTTCACGAGTGAGGGGAGGACGGAGCGTGAGATTGACAGGCGGATCGGTGCAGCGTCTGCAGTGATGCAGTCGCTGCATCGGACCATTGTGATGAAGAGGGAGCTGAGTCGAAGGATTTACCTGTCAGTCTTCGTTCCTACTCTCACCTATGGTCATGAGCTCTGGGTAATGACCGAAAGGACAAGATCGCAGATACAAGCACTGGAAATGAGTTTCCTTCGCAGGGTGGCTGGGCGCTCCCTTAGAGATAGGGTGAGGAGCTCAGTCACACGGGAGGAGCTCGGAGTAGAGCCGCTGCTCCACCACGTCAAGAGGAGCCAGCTGAGGTGGCTTGGGCATCTGTTCTGGATGCCTCCTGGATGCCTCCGTCGGGACACATCGCTCTCAAAGACATGGAAAAAATTAGGTACAGGGCCTTTAAAAAGTTAATCCTTGATTATTAGGAATGACTGAATTTTATCATCTATTTGTTAATTTTTGTTTATTTATTAGGATCCCCATTAGCTGTACCCGAGGTCCAGCCGTCTTCTTGGGGTCCTGTATTTAAAAGAAACACTTAAAAATTTTTATTTCATAAAAAGACATGTCTTAAAAGGTATATACATATTCAAACTATATAAATTTATAACATTTAACAGTTTAATGATTACATAATTCTTTCATAATTTCATCTCAATTAAAATCAACAGGCATTTTATATCAATAATTGTAAGCAAGACATGCGAGAGATTGTATTAAGTGCAGTTAGTCTTACCTTCTCCGCCAGCAGCTCCCTGATCTTCCCGGCCTGAAGTCTGAAGCGCAGCAGCTGCATCTCCAAAGCCAGACAGCGCTTGTGCCAGTCCACCCCAGAAACCTCCACCGCTCCTGGGGCAGAGCCACCCTGGACCTCTGCCATGGTGGAGGGGAACCAGCCTGGAAGAGGAGAGAGGGGTTAAAATTAGAGATGCATCACCCCAGCTTTTTCAGTTCTGATACAGATTCCGATATTATGACTAAGTTTAAGTTCAAGTATATCAGTGCATGGACTAAAAATACACTTTATTTTCCTAAAACAACGTGTTAAGTGGCTCTTATTTACCTCTAAAGTAACTACAAAATAACTTTATATTAAAATCTCCAGCATTATGAGACTTTCTGGCCCAACTATGACCAGTACATCAATTTACAGGACCAACCAGGATATGTGCAGAATCAACATTTTGGAACTGTCAAGTTTAGAGTAGAATGGACCCAAAATGCAGAACTACAATGTGTTTAGGCCCTTTGGCCTTCATCAGGACTAGGAATAGTGTGCCCTAATAAAGGCCAAAGGGCCGAAATGTGTTGGCGTGATTTTAACTTCATCTGCTATGTGGTATTTAATGCTTTAAATTATTTTGTACTTTTTGAGTGCCTCGGCTTTTTCAGCTTTGTAGCTGAGACTGATCCCTCACTGCACAATCTCTACAGATCCATGTAGCACTCCTGCTCTCTAAAGTTCTGAAAGACAGATCAGTTTATGTTACACTGTGGAACCTTCCAGGCCAATTTAATCTGTATGGAGACAAGCAGGCAGTGCACCCATCACCGGAAAAGTTACATAGTGCACATTTGAAAGACCTTTCTTACTGTCTCTCTCTTTTTCTTTTTTTTAAATAATTGTCAAAATGCTAAAAAAAAAAATGCTCAAAATGCTTTTGTACCTTAGTCATTATTGATGTGGTCATGACTCTTAACGTTCCTGTTTATATTTATTCACTCCAAGCTGTTTCCACTGAGAAGAGTGAAGTGGTTTATTCTTTATGGACCTCATTTCCCATGACTCACTCTGACTAGCTAACTCCACTAGTGACTAAACTTATAACCAGGACCACTGAAGCCCACTTTCTCTGCTGCTGTCTGTAACAGGAATCACCAAAACAGACCACTCAGTGTCCCAGAGATTTGTACAGGTCAGTCACTGAGTGTGTATGCACTTGAGTCTCCTGGTTATGATCAGGTTTTTTGAGTGTCCTGATTTTGTGAGTGTTCATGTAGACACAGTGTCCTGACTTCAGTCTCATGGATATGCAGTATCCTGGTTGTGAGAAACCAGGATACTCTCACTGGGATTTTCTGATAGTATTCAGGATACTGGGGCATGTAGACGCTGGAGCTGTACTGAGCATGTGCGAAATGGTAGGAGCCGTTACTTTTCCAAAATGTCTCAAACTCCTACGAGGACTTTTTAAGTATATATTATCTATAATATTTTATACTTATAATCAAAATGAAGTAGTCAACTGATTAATACAGCCACGTTTTAACCCCACGCTCAGCTCTGTGGCTGTTTGTGCTGCTCTTGAACTAAACTGACTCTGTTCTTACTTGAATGTATGTATTTTTGTTGTTGTTGTTAAAAAGCCTTAAGTCAGTAAAGTTGCTGCAGGTTTAGCTCCTTGCCATATCTGTGCCATAGTTACCATAGCAACCAGTCTAAATATCCAGGATACTCTCATGTACACAGAGATATGAGTGTCCTGGTTTCTCTGAGCGCATGGAAACACCATATCCAGAATACTGTCAGAACCAGGATAAGACTCATAACCAAGATAGTGATGATCATGTAAACTTATTCATTGCGGTGGTGGAGGGGGTTTGCTCAAAATATTATTTTAATACAATTTTAAACTTAATCTTAACTTAATCAAAGTATTATTATTGGTTAGAAAATACTCTGGTGGTACTTTTATTTAAACATATCATAGTTGCTAAATACGTCTTTGTCACCTATTGTTTTCATGTATAACACCTACAAACAAGCACAAAAAGTTACACAGTGCACCTTTAAAGTGGCTCTATTATTCAAACTAGACTTTTCAGATCTTTTCACCATGTTATAAAAGTTTCTTCTCACTGACCCTCTGAAGTTGTATTTGGAGCGATTTGTGCATGTTTGACTCATCTTTAATCACTCATTTTCAAGACACCATTTTGCCAATCTACCCGTTTTCAGCTCCACTGGTACATGCCCACTGTGATGTACGCACTTCCTTCTCCAGTTTGATGTCCACATGTAAAAAATGCTCTGCTCTAGTGTGATGTGCAGCTTTCCATAGGAGGGGGCCACAGCATGTGGCGCTTTGTTGTCATGATGTTTACAACCCCGTGAGCTCCCACTGGACACCACAGTTTTCTAACACATTAGTCAGCACATTTGTTTCTTTTATGAAGTTGTTTTATATCAATATTATATTATGATTTAAAATGGCCAAATTATAACAGAATGATCCACACACGCAGTATACAGAAGTGGACAAAATTGTTGGTACCCCTCTGGTAATGAAAAAAAAATCAACTATTTTCACTGAAATAACTTGAAACTAAGAAAAGTGATAATAAATAAAAAATTCCTGAAATATAGCCAATGAAAATCAGACACTGTTTTTGATTTGTTGAGAATTATTAAAAAAAATAAAATAAAATACTAATGAAACTGGCCTGGACAAAAATTATGGTACCCCTACAAAAGATTGTAAGTAATTGGACAATAGGGACATGTTAAACTTCGGTGTGTTTCTAATCTGCATCACAGGTGTCTTCAAACTTGTCCTCAGTCAGTCTGTCTGTTTAAAGGGGGACATGTGTCATTGTACTGTTTGGAGACATGATGGAGACAACACAACATGGATCAGAGAAAGACTAGAAAGATCAGGAGACTAGAAAGAAAATGATAGACAAGCAGGTTAAAGATAAAGACAATAAGACCATCTCCAAACAGCGTGATGTTCCTGTGATTACAGTTACACATGTTTTTCAGAAGTTTAAGGTCCACAGGACTGACGTCAGCCTCTCTGGATGCAGCTGCAAGAGGAAAATTGATGACAAATTGAAGAGATGGATCATAAAATTGGTAACCAAAGAGCCCAGAACAACCTCCAAACAAATGAAATGTGAACTTGAAGGGCAAAGTTCATCAGTGTCAGATCACACCATCGGTCACTGAGCCAAAGTGGACTTCATGTGATGACACCACTGCTGACAGCAAATCATAAAAAAGTGAGACTGGAATTTGCCACAGTGCATTTTGACAAGCCACAAAGCTTCTAGGAGAATGTCCTTTGGACAGAAGGGATAAAACTGGAGGGCAAGACACATCAGCTCTATGTTCACAGATGCAAAAATGAAGCAGACCAAGAAAAGAACACTGTCCCTATTGTGAAGCATCGGAGGAGGATTGGTTTTGTTCTGGGGTTGTTTTCCTGCATCTGGCACAGGGTGTCTTGAATCTGATACAAGATACAATGAAATCTCAAAATGATCAAGGTACTTTGGAACAAAATGTGTTGCCTTGTGTTAGAAATCTTGGTCTTCGTTGTAGGTCATGGGTCTTCTAACAGGATAATGACCGAAAACACACAGTTAAAAACACACTGGAATGGTTAAGAACAGAAGTTTGGACTGCTGAGTTGAACACACCCCATGACGTAATTTTCCGCCATATTGGATTTTCCGCTATTTTGGATTTTATCAAAAACCTTCAAAATGTATCTCCTTTCAGAAATTTTGTAAAACCTTCTTGAAACTTGGCACACAATCTTTAGACCAATTGTCACAAAAAAAAAAAACTTCAAATGGAATTTTCATTTAACCCTTTGTTTTCTGGCAAATGACCATTAAACTTGACAGCAAAGCTCCCAAACAGGAAGTGAGCTTACTGCGCAGAGACACTTTGACGTATTGACACCAAACTTAATACTCAGGGCCCCTCATTGTAGACCCTCAGAAAAATTCCTGACCTTCAACCTCTAGGGGGCACTATAATTAGCAAAAAGGTGGTTCAAGTGATATCTCTTGATCTGTTTGGATTTCCAAGGAAATTCCTATACCTGCTGATGCTATTTGACTCGGTGACACGTGTTGTAAAATGTGACCATCTGCATTTGGCGGCCATGTTGAATTTTGTCAAAAATGCTCTTTTTTGGGTATCCCATAGAATGCCTTGGAATAAAGCTATGAAATTTGGCATGTTGATTCAGGCCAGGCCACTGATAAATTTTTGAGTTTCTACCTCAAGAGCTATAGCACCACCAGCTGGTTAAACATGCATTCATATTGACACCAAACTGCATAAAAACTTGTTTAAAGGGAAATCTATTGATAAGGTCTCCGCATTGCTGTTTGCAGCTATATGTATAGGTGAATTTACCTTACCTACTAAACTGAGGTGTTTTATGTGTGTGTTAATAGATTTCAACCTCATTAAAACACAAATATAAGATGAAGTAGAAATTTAGCTTTATAGATATAGATACTGTAAACTTTATTTATAATATCTACAATAAAATCAGCAATAACCATCTTAAATGCGTTGCAGTTCTACGCTTAATTCACAATACACTTAATACACATTCTAACTTAATAAACCTTAATATAAAATAAAACACCTACACATGTTAAGACCAAAAAGCAAGTACAAAACGCGATTTCTGAAAACAGGCTGGCGTAGCAGGAGTGTCTCTGACGCTCTGGTGTGCATTGAAACTTTAAAATTTACGCATGAGTGCAGCTCCGCCTACGTTAGCAGCTCCTGGTGTGAATTCGGGGTTACTCTGTCTGAGCTCCTAATGCTGTGATGTCGATTTCCTTACATGAACACTAGTACCTCAGGCGAGGCGTGGGAGCAGACTGCAGGACAGACAGGAGCGAGAGCGAGAAAGCAGCGGGTCTGCTGTGAGATGGGAGCATGAGACAGACACTGGTCTTAACCGAACACAGAGAAAACTATAGAAGGTCAACGTGTGTGAGCGTGCACGAGCTTACAGGGGTGCGTGTGCATGAGAGGGGCGCACGTGCGTGCGGAGTGTTTGGAACACAAACCCAGTCAGTTCTGCCACACAAAATTCTACATTCCTGGTGTCTCTGGTGTGCACTGTTGGGCAAGTTACTTTGAA